TTACAATCCTCAAGAAATGCCGTCGGAAACTGGATTGTTTAATTTATGAAATGCTCTTCATCAAAAACAAGAAAACAACACTTAACACTCAATCTGACTCCATTAAAGCAAAACTTTTTATTTGACAGTTCAAGCGCACCACGCTTGGTGTTTTTTTTTGTTTATTTACTCATCGATTATTTTTATCTCTTAATCATATGCACTGAGACCTTGACACGTACATTCACTATATAATGAACTCAAATAACGTATTTTATTTGAATTTGAGAATGATGGCATGGAGCCGTCGAAACGTCATTCTTTAATATGGCTACTTTTTATTCTTAATTTTTTATCGAAAACCTTAGTTATTAGAATTTTCTTCAACCAGCAACAAATGTTTTTGTTGCGCGACAAGTTGATCACGCAAAGTGAAAAACGCGAAACATCGACCCAAAACTTGCAACGAAACAATGTTGCGCGATAAGTTCAGGGTTTTTGTTTCTTGTATTTCGCCGCCTTAACCTCCCTGCATAACACAACAAGGACACTTAAATCTTTAAATATCATTGTTATACCTCCCAACTTAAATACGTTTTCCGATTGGAGGAGAACGTGTCACGTGTCGTGGGTCAAAACTCCCAAGGGCGAACAAAACTCACTAACTCCCCAGGGAAACAATAACTTGAACTTTCGACTCGCAGTGATCAGGTCGTGTTCCTTGAAACCGCGGCAAATTTGTGAGCCATTCGACGTCAAGCAAACGATTTCTTCGCAGTTCTTTTCTATTTTTGAGTTGGAACAACCCTTAATGACTGGTCCCGCGGGAAATAGTGAGTTTTGTTTCCCTCGACCTCAATGTTCCCTCAACATTGAGGATCTTGGGGAAACAAAACTCAGTGTTTCCCTTTGGGCCAGTCATTAAGTGTTTATTGACTATCCTCAGCAATGAGTTGAGAGTGCGCGAGATTTGACAATTTATAACTGAAACTGGTCGAAGGAAAGAGTGTTTCTCCACGAATTTTGGGATTGCTCAGCTTTTGATTGGTTTCAAAATTTGTGCCATGTGCGCTAACAAATTAGAGTAAACATGCAGTTTTTTTAACCAATCAGAAGTAGAAACAAAAGTGATCTCAGCTAGGCTTTCGCGCGCTTTCTTACGCTCTACAACGGTTGCATGTATTCCCGCGCTTGGCAACGGTTGTTCGTTTTCCCACCTTTGTCACGAGTTGGTTTTTTTTTTGCTTTGAGCAATAATTGGTTCATTTTGTCCCTGCCGTTTGTTTTGATTGGCTGATATGTGATTAACAAAGCTTTGGTTTTACAACCCCCCATCAGAAAATCACTCTATTAATGGTGATTTCCAGTCCGTACTGCGTAGTCTTAGCCACCCAATGTTGGCGAATGATATTCGTTACGAACCACTTACCTTATCTTTGAGGCATTTTTACTGCATTTCCAAAAGTTCTTTGACTTTTACAACTAAGAAGTTTTTTTAAATTAGCAAGTGATATCACAAAGATTGAAGCATAAAGCTTCGCATTCATGATGGCGGTTGACATGAAACTTTGAATTCACTTCATGTAAGTAGTTGCGAAATAACATTCTGTGGCGTCCTACATGAATCAAAACAAAAACGTAAACAAACTCTCGAGAGTGCGCACGAGCCATCAGTACGCACTAATTATGGTGTATCTACATTTAAATTCTCCGCAGTAAAAATCTGGGAATCTGTCCCACCAGAACTTAAACGTTTTCCATACATGCTCTTCAAAAAGCGGTATAA